AAATAGCCCTGCAGCAAAACGAAATTACAAACACATTTATTGATGACTGGAAATGCCTCGCAGAAGAAGAAGGCACTTTTGGGGACAAGACCGATACCCACCTGAAAGAGTACCAGTCCTTTACCGACCTCCACAGCCCAACCGAGAAGATGATTACCTGCATATCATGGCATCCAACTATCTACGGTGAGATGAAAATAACAGGGATCCCCTTTTGTGATAGCGTTGAAACTGTTCATCACATTTATATGTAAATTGCAAACTAGCTCAATTTTCAATAAAACAGCTTCCTTTCCTGAGTGCCAGGTGTCTGCCAAGCACTTGTCACACCTTCCCTGTCAAGTGTCCTCCCAGCAATTATGTAGGACACATACCACACGAATCATCCTCTCTATTTCACAAAGAGACCAAAGCTCAACTCAGGGAGGTGACTTACTCAGGTCACCCAGCTGGCACAACCGCAAAGTCTGGATTTGACTGTGGCCTGCTGCACTCCCAAGGCTAGATTCATTCCTCCTAATACTCCTTCTGATTACTGGACACGAAAGGAAACACACTTCCTTTAAAGGGTTGGCAGCCAAAGGAGGTAGAAATGTGTGAAGGTGGAATCATGGAAAGAGAGAGGTCTTTGTCCTCTTTCTTCCTCCTCTCACTCTCCACTGGCCCTTTTCTCACAAAAAAGCAGCAAAACAAACTTTTCTTTGCTCACTAAATCTTCTAAGCCCACACTGCGTATTTTATGCTAACAGCACACCTCAGTTTGAACCAGCCAGATTTCAATTACTAAATAAGTGACATGTGGCTAGTGGCTACCATATTAAATAGCAAAGCTCTAAGAAAACCCTTGGTCTCCTGTGGAATATTTTTACTCAAATTTCATCAAAATGGAAATGATTAGAGACTATGTAGAAAAGCAAGAGCTGGAAACATTTCTCCATGTACAGCTGCTGCTGACTTTGATTTCTCCTTGTGTTTTAATCAGGGCTGATAGCTGTTTCAGTGGCCGAGCGACTCTCCTTTGAAGAGAGAGTCCACTTTTCTGGTAAATTATTGCTGCAGCCATCACTGATTCTTTTCTGGAGTTTCTCGGATCCTATACATCCTCAGGTAATCAAGGAGAGTTGCCCACGTAGCCTAAATGTTCAAATACTGCTTTCACGTATATCTTTAGCAGTTTTTATTGCAAAGTACTTCATAATCAATTAATGTTGCAAGCCCGTATGAAGTTAGACTTTCTTTAATGCAGAACTTGTCATCATTCGATTTGAGCAAAACTAAAGTTTATACTTGGTTTATTGAACAAATCAACAAGTCATTTTTTTTTCCCAAAGATCATAAGAGGAATGTTTCACCTGTTTTAAAAAGCAGACTCCTTTTTGGGCTTATTATAGTACTAATGGATCAAATGCAAATAGATTTTAGTTTCATATGAATTTCCTCCATTCCAAGGGCCCCTAGCAGGTGACGTAATAAATGAAGGTGACTGTGTGGGAGAGCAGTGGGGAGTGCTGGGGACTGTGGCCCTAGAGGCTGCACTGCCATCTCTGGGCCAGCTGCTCTTTGGTGCTCCTGTTCCCAGGTGGCTCCATTGTCAAGAGAATCCGGAAATTTGGAATTTTGTGTGAAATCTTCCAAATGTAAATAGCACAACTAAAACCCAACTAAAACACACAGAAAACTCATTGAAACCAAACACAAAACACACAGCAAGGCCAATAAAATGAGGCTAAAGGCTGGGTCTGCTCCACAGGGGTCTGATTCCCTTGATCTGCACAGTAAGAGTTCTGCTCAGGGGTAGGGTGCTATCGATTGTTAGATTAAGTATTTCAATGTACATACATATAATCGCATTTTGTTTCTATAAAGCATTGCAAAATTAAGGGTTTCCCTAATAAAGCCTAGCCTCCCTTCTTCCTTCTTTCCCAGTTCATCTGAATGAAGGCAGTTTTAATGTAACAGATTCTAGATACTTTAATTGTTCTAGACCCAGAGATCAAAATGACAGATCTCTAGCTCTTCCTTTTTAACCTACTCACCACAAAAATAGTGCCATTCTCTAGAACGTTTTCTAACATTTCTACCCCGTAGGACTACTCTCCACTCTGTGCCATGGAAGCTTGGCTAAACTTCCAGTCAATTAGGAGGAAGAAAGATAGACCCTCCTTTCCTCTATTTTGAAGAATAGCTTTAAAAAGACAAGCAGATAATTTTTTGAGGAAATAATGTAAATGATTTATTTTGTCTTTGTTCTAATTAAAACTATGGGAAAGTATTAAAAGATTTTATTTTCAAAAGTAGAAGTTTCTCTAGAATCCACAAAGCACCACATAAACCAAGATAATTTATCCCAATTCCAGTTTGGAACCTTTAGCCCTGTGGTGGCAAAACAATGGCCTGCTGGGGCCTATTGTTCTGGTTGTTGTGTTTAAAGAAGAGCGGTAACCATGCCAGTGTTTTGCTTGTGCTAGCTATTGTGAATATAATGATTGCTTCACACTTGCGTATTCCTTGCAGGCCTTGTTCACCTTCTGGGTTCTGTGTTATTTTAAAATTTGAAGTATTATCACCAGCACTAAATTCCATGTTATTAGGCTGATTTTGTTTTTGAGTGCCCACTATGTGCCAGTCTAGGTATTAGAGTAGGGAACAACACGGGAAAATATCCTGCCCTCACAGAATTTACCTTCCACATCTTTCAGAAACACTAATTTCATAGTCTTTTTGTTTATAAAAATTGTAACATGCCCCCAAAATTGCCTATACTTTTTCTGCCATGGAGGATGAGTGAGGGGACAGACCTGGGTGCCCTTGAGAATATACTCTCATATGTATGACCAACGTCCACAATAAAATTCAACAAAAGCAGCTTCTCATCCAGAGGTAGAACTCTAGGAATAGGCTCTGCATGCACACTGCTTATACATAGCTGTAAAGTTAAACTGTCTTAATATTATTTTCTAGCCATGATCTTGATAGGTTTTGTCACTCTTTCTTGAATTTGTGGGGTTTATTTTAGTTAATGCTGGAAAGCCCAGATGACATCTTCTGCTTCCAGTTCTGTCCGAGTGACCCTAATATTATTGCCGGAGGCTGTATAAATGGACAGGTACTTATGGAACTTTTTCAGTATGTATAAATGTAGACAACATTCTGTAATAAGTTTTGATTTAGTAGTTTTTGAACTTAAGGATTCAATTCAGCAGAAGGAAGGCATGCCAGTTGTGTGCCAGTCACCATGCCAGGAACTAGGCTGTAAAGATGTAACCACATAGTATTCACACTTGAAGTGTTCACAGGGTAACTCAGATATATAACTGAAATAAAACTGGGTCAAATCTCTGTTGCTGGGATAGAACCAATATTGTATAAGACTCCATGGAAGAACAAAGCTACAAGCATTACTACCTCTTGGAAAAAAGGCCTCTTCTGAAATTTCCTGGGGGTAGGAGTTAGGGGATGATCCAGAAGCAGAAATTCACTGGAATGCATACATATATCATTGAATTTATGTATATATTATTTGACACCATGTTTGCCTTTTTCTTCTGTCCTTTTCAAGTTCTCTAGTTTATAAAAAAATTTAGATCCTATCCTCCAATATCCTGTTTCTCTAGTAAAGCGAACAAAACTCTTAAAGCTGTTTTATGATCAAAGTTTAAATTCATTGTGATGGAGTGGGTTTGACCATTAAAAGGGTGTATGATCTTTTTTGTGTGGTTAGAACAACTTCCCTGTGGTTGAAACTTAAATGTCTACAGCTTCCATGTCCATTGATCCAGAACCAAAATAACTAGGGAAACAAATTTCTCTCCCTCAATTTTGTTCAACAATAACTGAGGGTCATAATGATGACTCAGAGCCCATCCTCCAAGCCCTGAAAATCTGAAGTGCCTGTTTTTACTCATTGCAAAGGTAATATGACTTTGTTTTAGAATATTTTATTTTATTTTATTTTATTTTTAGAGATGAGGTCTCACACTGTCCCCCAGACTGGAATGCAATGGCATGATCATGGCTCACTGCAGCCTCAAACTCCGGGGTTCAACTGATCCTCCCACCAGAGCCTTCCAAATAGCCAGGACTACAGGCATGTCCCACTACACTTGGCTGTTTTAGAATATTTTAGAAAAGCATGTGATGAAAATAAAATCACTCACAATTCTATAACCCTGGCATTTTATTAACACTTTAGTGTACTAAAATACCTTTTAGTCATTATAAATTAATCCAATTTAGTATTACATATTCTACTTTATTCTGATTTTTCAAAAACTGACCATCCAGATATATACAAATTCAGAGTTGATCATAATATTCAATTAAATAGAAATCATCACTTCCCTGCCTGTTTTAGACAATTGTTTGTACCTAATTCTGGAGAATGGGCTTTAGACAGTTGTCAATCATAGCACATTCCCCAAAACAGAGGGAGAACTCTTCCCAAAGCAAAGGGAATTACATGATATTTACCTTGGATTTTTAGAAATATTAGCATTTATTAACACAAGCACAAAAATCAAAGTGCTGAAGATGCTTTTATAGAGAAAACATTCTTTTTAACATTAGCTTTAAAAGTTACTGACTTAAGATATAGGCTTAATTTTATTACCCTTTAAGGTAATTGACTTATCAGGCTGCATACCAATAGTTTTTTAAAAAAATCTTTAAGACTCAATTAGCTATCTCCTGAAAATGTTATGATAACATTTATTTCTGTTTTAGATTATCCTGTGGGATATCACAGCACATGCAGATCGCATAGAGAACATTAAGTCGGGTGGTAGTAGAAGTAAAAAAGCCACACTCAAGGTTAGCTTTCTATAACTTTTCACTTGCAAGTTTTTTCCATTCAAGAGTTTATGGGAAAGTACATAACAGAGTTGCCAAGGTTAAGAAGAACTCAAAAGAAAAAAGAATGTTATTTCCAAGCCTTCATATCTGCTTGCGAACACATTCTGAATCACTTTTATATAGGCCCACATGAAAATGACAAAACATGACAAAACAAATTGCATCATCTATCCCAGGATGTAAGGTTCTTTTTGTTGTTGTTGTTAAATAAAATGAGGGGACCAACTGGCTTGCCTACAGTGATGTAACTGAACCAGGACCGGACAGAAGGGCCGAGTATCAAGGCTCTGCATCTTAGTCCTGAGTTGAGACATGCCACCTTCCCGTGGCAGGAATAGGTTTTCTCCTGTATAAAATGCAGGCATTACAATCCTTTCTGATGATAATATACTACGATGATTTTGTAAAGCTATAGACTGTTAAAAAAGTTGGGAAAAAATTCCTCAGCTCCCAACTCAGCACTTGCCCACCAGGCTGCACACTCTCGCCACATCCCACTTCTTTAGCTTTGGTATCAACAGGTCTCTTATCAAGGAGAGGTGGGATGTGGCCTTTTCTGCATGCAAAGAAACACTCCTTCAAGAACGGGATTTCTCATTGATTCTTTAGGGAGTAGGTCAATAATACTTGTTAAGTTCAGAGATGAAATCTTAGACTAAACTGAAGGGGGGAGTAGATAATCCTACTACTTAAATATATGGTATATAGAAACACTAATTTATATTTTTCCTTGAACTAGTAAATCTCCAAGTTATTAATTTTAATTGGAATGATGAGTAAAGTATGAGTTGATTCATAAGCTCTCTGAAATTAGCATGTAACTTTCTTTTAAAATTTTTTCAGCCTATGTTTATCCTTGAACCAGAGAGTAATAAAGAAGCAATGTATATCAGACACTGTGCAGTCTCTTCAATAGAAAATGGACATAAGAAAGTAATTACAGATATTCACTGGCTGTCTGACACATTCGAGGTGAGTCTTGATGGCTTTATGCTTTTCTCCTGCTGGACTGTAAATTTTTAGATTTTATCCAACAAAGGTATTTCAAGTCAGCAATTCATTTACGCTTACATTGTGAAGTAACCAGGAACTAAGCATCAAAACATTGGATCACTGTTACCAGATCAATATATGACTTGGGATGAAAATAAAGCCAATCTTTCAACTTGGTTAGTTTATAACTAAAAAATGTGGTTGGTGTCAACACTGATACAATAGTGGAGAAGACGAGGATTTGATATGTAAAAACGAAGTACAGATATTTTATACCCTTAGCATTTATGGACTTAAAATTTATGATCTCAGCTATTTAGGGTCAGACAACCCTAAAGATCTGTGACATACTGTAATGTGTAATTTTGCCGATGCATAGTCTTGAACTGAGTGTACTGAGAGGCCGGTAGGTGCAAACCAGTTGTGGAGTAAGTGAGCCCTGTTGGCCACCCAGCATCTGCACTGCAGTTTGCCTTTGTGGTTGAAAACTTGACTATAACCTCGCAAAGTGTGGTGTTCATGAATTTGGAAACTGGCAAGCTTCTCAAACGTTTCCCTCAAGGACACTAAAGATCTACTACGTCCTTTGAAGAACCAACAGCTGAGAGTATCAGAGAATATTATGAGAAATTAAAGTTGTAAGAGGTGTTATCCCTACCAGGTATTGAAATGGATTATGTGAAGCAACAATTTAAAAGTCATAATGGACTAAAATAAATAGCCCAGATATAGTTTCTATTATATGTAAAAATATAACATATGATAATGGAAGTTATAATACAAGAAAAGGAACTCCATTTCAACTCACACCATACACACAGATTACTTCAGATGACTTTAAATTTAAATGAAAATAACAAATCACAGAAAAATATAACATATCAGAATAGAATATCAGATTTCTGGAATGAGGAAAATTTACTAAGATTATTAATGTTGAAAGAAATCAAAAAGGAGAGATTGACAGATTCAAAATATACACTTAAATTTCTAAATTAAGAAATAAGTGAGTAATGATGAGAGGTTAATTAATGGGTACAAATATACAGTTAGAAGAAATAAGACCCAGTGTTCAGTAGATCAGTACAGTAACTATTGTTAACAAAATCTATTGTAAGTTACAAAGTAACTAAAAGAGAATAATTCACATGTTCCTCGCTTAAAGAAAAGATAAATGTTTAAGGTAATAGATATCCCAATTACCATGATTTAATCTTTACACATTATATGAATGTATCAAAATACCACATATACCCCCAAAATATGTACATCTACTATGTATCAATAAAAAATAAAAGTAAAAAATAAAGAGCAAATAACAAAATGGAAGAAAAGATTTGTACTAAATATGTAAATATAAAAATTTTCAATAAATAAGCAAAATACATATCCAACAGAACAATTAGTAAATCAACATGAAAATTATTCAGCCTTTCTAATATCAAGGAAATGAATAATAAAGCAACAATAATGTACTATTTTGGATTTATTTAATTTTAAATGAAAATTTCAAGTAACATTCTGTGTTAAAAATGATGAGGCAGTGAATGAAACCAGTAAACATTAACTTTGCAGATTGCAACATAAAACTTTCGGAATGCGATTAGTCAATGTGGTTCTTATTCTTAAATCATCCAAATTTTCAAACTTTCTAACCAGTAATTATTGATACAATTTGGGGAGTTCATATTAAGAAATGACCCAATTTGTGCCTCAAGATTACATGTACACCTTTTTAAAAAACCACATCAAAGTGTATCCATGAAAGAAGATTGGAAAAGGATATAAAAAGAATTGTATTTGATTTTAAAACTTTATATTTTCCAACCTTCTGTAATATTACTATGTTTTGGGGGTTTTTGAATCATTAAAACATAAAACCCTGGAGCGCACACATCTCTGGGGTCTCTGGCTTCATACAGCAGGAAAGCCCCGTAGAGGGGGAGGTAACAACGCGGTTTGGGGGCTGTTTATCAGATCAGAGAGGAGTTGGCAGCCGCTATGGAACCTGAACTGGTTCAGGCGGCAGCACTGTTACCTGGGTTTTTGGTTGTTTAGCTCCTGGGATGCTTTGCAGGCCTGACCAGGGCCCCACTGGTACCCGTCCTCCATCCCTACTTTTACTGTTTGTTTGCTGCTGGAAGCCCCGCCTTTGTTTACTATTCTGCTCACCAGTCAAGTATCAGGAGGATAGGGAATTGGGGAACCAATGATTCCCTATTGATTCAAGAGTGGCACCTTCACAGGTGGCCTCAGAGCCTACTGACTTCTTTGAGAGCTGGTTGGTTGGAATTTTGGACCTTCTAGGAGCCATAAACCCTCCTGTGGATCTTCTGTGTGTTTGCAGAGTCATACCCACAATTATGGAAAGAATCACATCTTACAGCATTCAAGGCACACCTTTATTTGGTGTCTCATTTAACACTTAGCCTCTTTTCTATTAATTCTACCTTAGAACAGATCAGGCCTCGAAAAGGAAGGAAGGAAGGAAGGGAGGGAGGAAAGAAGGAAGGAAGAGGGGAAGGAAGGAAAAAAGATCTTACCTGCTTAACAACCTCATAAAAGCTCCTGTTTAGCTCCACAATTCATTGAAAAACTGAAAGAACCTCTAATAATAATGGATAATGAAATTATGGTACATCGTCTATATAGTATAAAACTATTAAAATAATTTATGAATGTATAGGTGAATGTTCAAATGATGTGAAGTGAAAAAAATCTCAGGATAAAAATATATATGCATTCTAATTAAAGCTATGTAAAAATGTTTCCATGACAAAAGAACAAGAATATATGGCAGAATTGTATTTGATTTTAAAACCTTCTATTTATGAAACTTCTGGGATAGTGGTATGCTCTTTTATTAAAATTTAAAACAAAGAAGAAAAAAGTTTAAAAGGTAAATAGCTATGAGAAAAAAATTATTACTCTTCTAGCTACACAGAATTTACTTTTCTTGCATTTTTTTAAAAAAATAGGTTAACAGATTGGGCTCTGTCTTTGAGAATCGAAGTGGAATATGCTGCCAACTTGTCACATGTTCGGCAGACTGGTATGTCTTATTTCCAATGTTTCCGATGAGTTTTCTTACAATATGTTCTTTTTTCTTAGAGGCTCCTGAAATTTTTAGTGTCTTTTTCTGCTCCTTAAATAATCTTTATTGTAGCAGTTAAATCTAGTATAAATAAAGGACAGAATATTATGGATTGTTGCTAGTATAAAAATATCCTTTTATAGAGATAACTATGTTATCAAAAGAAGAATTAACTAGGCTTCATAGTTAATAATGTTGTATAGCATTATCCATAGTTATTCTGCTTCTTCACATTCTTGTATTTGTAAATTTGCAATATGTTCTTTATATTCAATTTTATCTAACAATTATGAAGATTATAACATTTCTTTAGGAAATCTTTTTTAAAAAAGAAGAGATATTACATTTGTATTGTATATTTAGAAAAGTGTTTTTGTAAACAACTTGGTGGCTATATTGAAGAATAGTCATTTAAAATAAAATTACACCTCCCAATTTATAGAACTAAGGATCCACAATGAAATAGGAACCAGGAAGAGTAGTATTATTTATCTACCATCCAAGTACTGGAAAAACTTTACCATTACAAATAGCTTTGATCCTCATAGAAATGATGACAGCTTAGGCCATAGAAGCAGCTGTAGAGTGTCAGGAGAAGGCACAAGTGACGTCGGCAGCAGCCAAGGTAAGGGGTGGAGAGATGTGATTGATCCTGTGGGCATGTATTGGGGAAGACTCTATTGATTACAAGCAACAGAAATTGACCATGGGTAGCTTCAGGTGAAGAAATACATTTATTGAAAATAAATGTATTGGATATTTATGCTAGTTCTCTACTGGGTGCTTTAATGGGTTAACTATTTTTATATTCACAATAACCCTGAAATATACCTAGATAGAGGAAATGAGGCTCTGAAGGCAAATATATATTCTACCTATAGCTCACTAAATATACAATGAGTTACATAGACAACTTGTAAGTGATGTTGTTGCTGAATCAAAGGAAGTGCTGATTCAGGCCTTGGAAAGAGCCCCAGGGATTTGGGTAGCAGGAATGAATGACCAGCCACTTCCCTCTGAATCAATCAGCTCCAATCATTGTGTCCCTCTGTTTAAGACTCAGAGTGACTAGAAAGGGTCTGCTTGGCCTCTGTTGCATTATGGACCCACCCCCTTGGAGAGGGAAGAAATGACAGAGTGCCTTCAGTGACATCCCAACCTGACTGCATATAATGGCAAAGGGGCGGTTCCCCAAAGAACAACTAGAATACTCTAGCCACAGAAAACAGGGGATGTTGTCACCCAGGCAAAACAACACATCTAGACCTATCACCTATAAGGTCATATGGAATTTTATGCAACAATTAAAATTGTATTATGATTTCATAAAATTGTATTATGATTTCATGGGGAAATGCTTATGCTATAATGTTAATTACAAACAACAGAATTTAAAGCTATATTGTTCTTCAGTAGCCTCAGAGAACATTTAAAAGCATATTGACACAGGTCCTTTGGTGGTGGTTTATAATGATGGGCTTTGAGTTTGGAAGGAAGGAGGCCGATTGGTTAAATTATTATTTTATATATGATTATTTATGTAAACATGGAAATATTCTGAAAATATTTCCTTCAAAAGTTGTTAAAGTAAAAAATAAAGTCTATGCAACTAGAAAAGCTAACTTTTAGTAATGTGGAAAACTCCATCACTCCTAACCTTTATACTTGAGCCATGCTAAAGGTCTTATAATATAGAATATAACAAAATAAATTTTCATTAATTAAGAACGTGTAACTGATTTATGCAGAAAGTTCAACTGATGATATCCGTATTTAGCAAAGCCATTTCATAAATAATACAAATTAACGCTATGAATAAGATCTAAGAAGAACTATATAATTTTGGAAAACAATTTTAAACCAACTATAGGCATGTTTAAAAACAGATCTTAGTATGTCATATGTCACTTGTGATGTTCTCTCAAGGATTTATGTTTTGACAA